GATCACATCGGTATCGTTTTCTAATGGCGTAGATCACATAATCGTCGCTTCGCTCTTCCTTTTTCGAGGATTAACAACTTGCATGGCGGTTGAACAGGACAGACCCAGAGGCCAAACGAATTATCGGAATCGGCTCCTGGACTCTCCTCCAACCGCCACGTCGTCGGATGTGAATACGCAGTGGAGCGTAAACGTCACACCTCTGCACAAAGGTGAGAGTCCTGCTTGCGATATGATTAAGCCAGCCTCACTCAAGCATTGAATATCAGACAGAACAGAGCATGACCAAAGGGTAGCAAATTATCAGAATTCGAGTGAACTGATCTATCCGCCGACCCTAGATCCTGGTGGACATCGAAGGCTAAGCAGATGGAAGAGGCGTAGAACAGCCGGAGTGCACAAAGACTATTTTGGTTGATCCATCTGACTGGTACTGAGGACTACTTGCGGGCTAAATCGTTAAACATCAAGCTGTTGTGAGCACTTTAAATGAAGAAGGATGCCTCAATCACTGGGTCGAGCAATTTCAACAGCAAGTGCGGTGGTAACCTGCTGCTATTAAGTCAGTATTAGAACACTGGACAGTGGATATGAAACTCGCCCAATCCTTGGGGGCCAAATTATAATATCTTTCCTCAAAGGTCACCAAGCTTCTGGTTCAGATGACCTCATATCCACGACGACCAAGAATGAGGGTGGAATCTGCAGGTAACGTTTTTGTTTCTTGTACTTTTTCATTTGAGAGACCCAGACAATTGGCAGATGTCAGTAACAGCACCCGTCAATGTGGTCATCAGAGGAAGGTCAATCTGTCTCCTGAGAGCCACTTACTCTTCGTTGCCCCATAACGGCCAGTCAAAGGCCAGCTTGCGAGAAGCAAGGATATCTCAGCCTGGTGTGGATTGGATTCATTATATCTGTCAGATGCTAGAACACTACCCTACGCAGAACTGAACCATGATTTTGCTACTCTTGGATTTCCGAGGCACATTCCACTCTGTTGACCACCAAAGAGTGTCCCGGAATTTGTGAGTAAAAATATGCTGTGTTTTTATACTTGCGTACATGTTATTGTAGGCCGATGCTCTCCAAAACCAAAAGGAAGCCCAACCCCTGCATCTCTATTCGGTTTCGTGGTTGACGAAGTGATGAGGCGAACGCTGAAAGGTCTCCAAAACTCCGGTTTTCACACAGCTTGGATGTGCAGAAGATGAAGTCTCTCTTTTTCGGAGAGAGAAAGATAGTGTCACTGTTCGTTCCCTAGGACAGCTGTCATATTTTGATGAAATCGACTAATTGAGAAACTTAATCGTTAAATCAATGGGGAAAACTGGGCAATGCAACTAACTAACCAATCAAACTGGAGATAATTAGAAAACGACGCAGTACAAAATAGAAACTAGCCAATCAACACAAATCACAAGTGACCAATGGACTCGTGAGAAAGCTGTCCCCAAGTTAGCCAAGAGATGGTTTGTACACTTCAAACAGAATACAGTCGGACTTAGGTAAGAAACACGCTGATGATGTCTCTGATTTTGGTGACGAAAGATCAATAGCCAACTGATTAGCAACCAAGTTCGCGCCAAAACAGAACTGTTCAAACAAAATCGATTTCCTCTGGACGCCATGTAGGATCCACCTATACAGGAGTTCTGCTGATCATTAGGCAAGACAGCACCATCACCGCCTCTAAGTGACAAGAGATGCAGCTCCATCTAACATGTACTGAGCATGAGGCCGTTGGAACGCACTGCGCTTTAGTTTGCCGGTGTTCATGCTCCAACGGGCAGCACCCACTGCGCCGTAAAATCTTGAGTTGAAAGCCTCCTCAGGTCACGAGGTCAGCAAGTCAGCAGAGCTGAATCTCTGATGAGTTACTCATGCGTACATTCGTACGGTGGAATACTTAATGTGACCACGTGTTGTCACGGGTACACAGCAAAAGCAAGATGTCGGGATAAGGAAATGCAAGGAATCACAAAGTCCTGACTTCCGTCCCATCTCGTCAAGAATTTGGTTTGATCAACTCGCAGTCTTGATCTTCACTTAACTGTGAGCTCATGGGCTAAAACGATACACATGGTGTACAGTCCTGAGCCCCGAAATTGAGCCATTGACGGTCTCGTGCGGGGACTCGGGAACAATCGGTCAAAACGATATTCCTGCTCTCATCAAGAGTGTACCAGGATGACTTACAAAAGTTATGAGGTGAGGAACTTTCTCTCGGCAATAGGACCTCATAAAGCGATTCTGGAACTTCGCCATGATCATTTCTCACTTTTTGGTGTCTAGACGTCAGCCGATCAAAGCAATAGTCTTGTGAATTCATACACAGATTTCTAACACGATTTGTCATCACCTAGTGACCGAAAATCGCTCGGTTCCGTCAGGCAGGAACGTGAAAGGTGCGGACGATTTCATACTATGTCGCAATGCCTATGGAAATTCGAAAGCAACGGATTCGAGCTGACAAACGGGCAGAGCCTGAAAATCTTGTGTCATCTGCCCAGATCCATTGAGATGAACTGATGCGCGGCATTTTGTGCACGACACTGGCTGATGGACTCTAATGGTCTTACTGACAATGTACGGAACAGCAAGGTGGTTTTTCGCTCCTAAAAAGGCGCCATTTAAACAATGGCGCTGCTCGATAAACCTTCAGGTTGTAAGGTTTGATTAACAGGTGATTTACGGCAGGTAAAAGACAAATTAGTCGAGAATGGGGCCTACGTCAAATCGACGCAAAATGCGATTGTTCCGAGCACACACACACACAGAAAGCACCTTCGCGAAAAGGTGACGAAAAGAAACATTCACGCGATCGGAGGATGTCTCGGGCTGATAGATTGAGCAGCAAGCTTCCGACAGCAAAGAGGTTCATATACAGACCAGGTATTATTGATGGAATGATCCGATTCGGGGAGAAATTTACCAAACACGTTCAGTTGATCATACTGAATTGTAGCACCGATGAGTATCACNCTACCATCCGGGAAGAAGGTCTCCATCTTTCCATGCCAGTCTCTTGTTTGACGGAAAGCGGAGAAACACTTCTTTAGTGGGAGTCACCAGCAGTGTGCTTATCACGAATCTCCGGCGCGATTCGAACAACCGGCCTCCTAACTAGTAGTTGGTAGCTAAACGATTCGAACACAAGCGACCGACTAGCAGTGTGAGCAACTCACACATGGATAGGACATGGCAGCACCTATCCTTTATTCTCTCCGTCACGAAGAGACTGGACCTTACCGTGGTGTGACGGTTTGCGCACCTCAGCGATCCATTGAGCTATACTGGAGAGTGTC